ATTATTATTATTATTATTATTATTAAAGATGGTGGTACAGGACGAGTCGCGCTTACCTATCCCTCAAAGAAATCGATCCCACAAATCGATCCTTTCAATCCAAAGAAGAAATCAAACAGCTGAAATACCTTGAGGTCGACCAATAATAGGAGAATTTATTTCACACCTAACGTTAGAAACCTCTTGAAAGTTAAACGCAGCCGGGTGGAAATCATCAGAAAAGAAGACTGGATTTCCCGGCTTCTCTGAAAATAATGGAAAATTGATGTTCATCGAAGATCTTACAACACTTCCGTATGCAGCCAAAACAGGGTTACTCTGGCAAATACCCAGTCATGAGCAACGAAGGTAAGGAGCATGGTTTCTCCAGAACCACTCGTGGCCGAGTGGTTTAGGGCGCTGGTGTTGTAATCAGGAGGTCCCGGGTTCAAGGCCTCCCCCCTGCCACTAGCGGGACTTTTTTCTCGGTAGTCCTGAGTTCAAATCCTCGGTCACGCTTTGTAAATAGNAACTAGCGGAGCTTAGTGCTTTTATAGCTAAGTGCATGACCACTATAAATAAGATTTACATTTTTTACAGTTTTATAAACAAGAACCGGAAAATCTCTTATTGACTTTGTCCATATTTGGCCCGCTGACGATGATCGAAGATGGATCGGAATGTTTTCAGCCGAAGGAGAAGCGAAGAAAGGCATCCAGGACATCAATAAGACTTCCAATGATTTGTTGAAAGGTTACTGCTAGCTTGTAGTATTCATTGGTAGGCTACATTTCGTGTCTTGCTGAATTAGTTTAGCATAAATCCGAGCGGGAATGTTATCCAGACTTCAATATCTTCGTTATGCCTAAGACGCGCCTGTAGGGAATCATGGTACAGTCGAACATCTATTATCCGTACCTCGATTATCCGGACTTTTTCTCTAGTCCCAATTTTGTCATGAATACATATTAGTCACGATCAAGATTCGTAGCAATATTCTTTTTAAAACTATAGCATTGAAAAGTGCAGTCAAAATCGAGTTTTTTTGTTTTGCTTTTAAAGAGCAAAATCAACGATCCCACGCGTCGTAACTAATGAAGAACACTCGAATGAGTTCTGATTGGCTCAGAGTAGAGTGGTTCAAGATGTACAGTAGACCATATTGTTTTCCAAACGATTTGCAAAAGTGTTGTTACACGATTAAATGTTGCTTTATTTAAACAGTTTTGTTATTCCTTAATATTCATATTTTCGATTATCCGGACTATTTCGTCTAGTCCCAACGAGTCCGGATAATCCAGGTTCGACTGTAGTTGTATTCATCATTTCTTTTGATGAATTCAACTACCATACCGCGTCTTATAAACGGAATGAAGATGTATATGTTATTAACTAAGCGCAAGGGCACCATAAACTTCACGGTCAGCTAACGAAGTTTCAAGAAAAAGAAAGAAATGTTTCAGGCGTAAGTTAATAATTTTAAAAGTAGAGTAGTCCCGCGAGCTCATTCGGGGTATTGTGCAATATATAGCTCTTAATAACCGAACAGGTTTGTATGGGGGAATCTTGACCGAGCGCGTGAGTACAGACCGAGGTCAAGATTCTCCCATACAGACCGGTTAATAAGATGTTCATTATATGGCAAAGACGTTTAATTCGTTTAATGTAACTGGTTTGCTGACATTTTGCTTGCCAACGGAAATGAGCTTAACTTAAACCTGCCGAAATTTGCTCGTCCTCTTTACTTTTTTTTTGTCATCAGGC